CCCGCCGGCCCCCCAACCCCGCGAGTGGCTGAGGCCCCGCAGCGGCCCTTTGTTCGCAAGCTGAAGCCCCCGCGCTCCTGCGCCTCCGGCAGACTTCGCCTTTGATGCTGTTTTTCCACCGCTCAGGTCTCTGTGCCGTTTCCCCTTCACAGCCCAGCCCTGAGCGTCGCTGTGGCTCGGGCCGGGGCTGCCGCGCCGGCTCTCGGTGGTTTCTGTCTCGGTTATTTTAAGCCGGCGAGACCTACGCGCTGCATCACTAATATCAGCAGTTTCCTTTCTCCTGTTTTCCACTCACTGTGATGAGCAGAACGCAGTGAGGGAGCCACATCATCTCACGAACACTCAGGCCGCGCGGCCAGCCCAGAGCCCCCTGCAGACCCCCGGGGGCCGGGGTCACTGACCGGGCAGGGGGTCGTGAGAAGGTCTGGCCAGAGGCAAGTTCTGCATCATGGCGAAGCCCCCAGCGGGAGGCTGCTGACAGCGGAAAAATCTGGAAACAGGAAGTCCCAAACCTGGCATGGCATCTCGTGATTTGATGCTGGGCGGGGGGTGCGGGGTGCTAGGCACCGAGTCCTTCAGCTGGGGGCCAGCAGCCAAGGCCACCATGGATGCGGGGAGGGTCCCCTGGGTAGCGCGGGAAGAGGGGTCCAGACCCTAAGCTGCCCCACCGCAGGCAGCCTCACAGCCGAGGGAGGGGCGGCGTGGCCCTGGAGCAGGAGATAGCGCTGCCCGCTGCCCCCTGCCCACTGCCCAGAGGGGTGTCTGGGCGGGGGCAGCAGAGGTCTGGCCAGACACTTTCCTGCCCCCCAGCAGTGGCAGTGCAGTGGGTTCAAACACCGTGACTACTGGGGCACTAAGCAGGAAGAGCTGAGCCCACCCCTCACTGCTGCCCACGGGGACCTGAGCTCAGAGGGCGCCCACCGTCCCCGGGCGGTGGGGGGGGCTGGGAGGAGGGGCACCCCAGCCTGGCGGGGAGAGGCAACGGCATCTGTGTGGACGGAGAGGGCCTCGCCGTGGGGCAGGGGCAGCAGACACTCACGCTGTCACACTCACACTGTCACACTCATGCTGTCACACTCACATTCACACACTCACTCTCACACTCACTCTCACACTCATACTCACACTCACTCTCACGGTCTCACACTCACACTCACTCACACTGTCACACTCACGCTGTCACACTCACATTCACACACTCACACTCCACTCACACTCACTCTCACACTCTCACACTCACACTCACTCTCACACTCCACTCACACTCACACTCATACTCCACTCACACTCACTCTCACACTCTCACACTCACACTCACTCTCTCTCACGCTCACACTCACTCTCACACTCTCTCACGCTCACACTCACTCTCACACTCATGCTGTCACACTCACATTCACACTCACACTCACTCACACTCCACTCGCACTCACTCTCACACTCTCACACTCACACTCCACTCACACTCTCACACTCACGCTGTCACACTCACATTCACACTCACACTCACACTCCACTCACACACTCCACTCACACTCTCACACTCACTCTCACACTCTCTCACGCTCACACTCACTCTCACACTCACACTCACACACTCACACTCCGCACGCTCACACTCACTCTCACACTCACGCTGTCACACTCACATTCACACTCACTCTCACACTCACACTCACACTCACACACTCACACTCCACTCACTCGCACTCTCATCTCACACCCTCGCGCCCCTCTGCCTGGGTCTCTCCCTCGGCTTTTTCCTCTCCCTCCTCCTCTGTGTGTCTGTGACTCTGTCCCTGTCTGTCCTTCCCTCTCCCTCCCCTCCCCATCTCTCTCTGTCCCCCCCACTCCCTGCCTACGCGGGAGGGGGAGGAAGAAGGGGCGGGGCTTGGGGCGTGTCCCTTTGACACCCGGTTCAGTTTCCTTTTGCGCACACACCTCTGCTGGAGCAGAGAGAGGCAGGAGGTCGGCAGGGGCATGGGGGCCCCGCGGGTGCCCTGGCCACTCCTCTGGGCTGTGCTGCAGCTGGGCTGGCGGCCAGGATGTCTCTTAGGTACGCGGGTCGGGGTTCGGTGACGCGAGGGGGGTGGTGGCACGGGGTCAGGGCTGGGAACGACCTCCCACCCTTGGTCCTTCGCGGGTGGGGAGGGGGCTGTGGAAGGGCCAGGCCCCTGAGACCCAGCGCTGCCCCTGGCAGAGAGCCGTGCGGCCTGGGTAAGGGAAGTGCTCTCTCTGGACTTGGCGGGTGGTGTGACCAGTGAGCAGGCAGCACTGTCCCAGCCAGTCCTCCGTGCGCGTGCCCCTCTCTGGAGGGTGACGGGCATGGGCTGGCCAAGGCCGAACCTGGGCCCGGCTGCCCCAGCTGTGTCTTACTGGCTGGGACTGGCCTCTCAGGGGGCTGACTGGCTCCCGGGGTGACAGGCTGGATGGCCTGAGACTTATCCTAATTCGATGAAAAGCGTAACCATGCGCGTGAAGGCGGTTCGCCCACTCACCCCTTCAGGGGCCTGGGGTGCATGTGCCCGGGGTCTCCGGGTGAGACTCTCAGGTCCACCGTGCCTGGCCTAGCTCACAGCGGCCGTGGCGGGTTCTGGTGAGGGCGTCGAGACCCTGTGCAGGCTGCCCGTGTCTGGCAGGCCCGTGTCGAAGTGTGACGGTCATCAGCACTGCACAGAGGAGGCCGGGGACGGCATGCCTGTGCCTCCCTGGGACGGCGGGGTGGGGGGGTAATGGCCCCTGGCAGGACCAAGGTGAGCTGGGGTGCCCTGACGCCCCACTGGGACCATTGGTCTTGGAATCCTGTGCCCACGGGCCCTCGGTCATCTCTGCCGGGGCCTGCATGGTGACGTTGGGGGCACCGGGCAGCCCGGCTTTCCTCCTCGGCACGGCTCACTCTCCAGGAAGACTTCAGGGTCCATGGAGGAAACTCAATGCTGGGGTCAGTGGTCCAAGGGCCTGTGGCCAGTGGAGGGCCTTGCGGGGGCAGAGGGTGCACGTCACCCCGGGAGGAAGGCCAAGATGTAAAAGAGACCGTGACGCCCCCACGCCCCGCTCTCCGCCAGGCCCCTCCCCAGAGCAGGGGAGGCCAATGTGAGGTTCTGCGGCCAGACTCCAAGTTCAACTGTGGACGAGATTTCAAGCCCAAGGTGCCTCAGTTTCCCCACCTGTGCCACTGGTGCCAGGGGTGGCCCCGCGCGGCTGACGCTGCATATGGGGTGGTCCTGTTCCTCCCCCCGGCCGCGGCGCCCTGGGCTGCAGGGGGCTTTTCATGCCGTGACATGTCTTTTTTCCTCCTTAATTTATTCGCCGTATCTATTATTTCGGTCATTCCCATGGAAACCCCCCTCCTTACGTACCTGGTTTTTTGCATTTTATGAACTATCCCAAACCCAGAGGTTTGCCCACGCCCCAACCCCAGTTAGTGAGTGTGAATGCGAGCACGGGCTTCGGGGGCTTCGGGGGCTTCGGGGCGAGAGCCTGGAGTGCGGACGGCAGCCCCCCCCCCGCCCCCGGGAGCTTCGTCACCGGTCGTCTCTGAGCTGGGGTTCTCCACCGTAAGCGGGGACGACAATGCCGCCCTCCAGGGTCGTTTGCAAAACTGTCCAGCACAGCCCAGGACACATTTGTTTAAAGTCAGGTCGTTTCATTTATTTTTTTCAACTTACAATTTCAAAAAACTATCGTACAGAAAAGTTACAGAAACAGGGCAGTGAACACCCTTTACCCAGAGTCACCGGTGACGACACTGCCGCGCCTGCTGTGTCGGTGGCCATAACAGATGCCTCAGGCCGGGCGGCCTGTGGGACAGAAGCTGATTGTCTCACAGTCTGGAGGCTGGAAGCCTGAGATCGAGCTGTCAGCCAGGCGGGTTCGTCCAGAGGCCGAGACAGAAAACGGGCTCCAGGCCTTCCCAGGCCTCTCCAGCTTCCGGTGGTGGCCGTCAACCCTTGGCCACCCTTGGCTGGCAGGCACATCACCCATCCCTGCCTCTGCCTTCGCCTGGCCTCTCCTGTGTGTGTCTGTTCCAATGCTCCTCTTCCTGTGATGGGGACAGCGTGCGCCACAACCTGAGTCCACTTAGAACGACCACATAAGGCTGCCCGCCAAGGTGCGGGGCGGGACTGGTCATGGGAACGGGGGCCCCGGCGCTCCCCGTCTGCGCACGGGACCCAGGTTTGGCCCGAGCCGTGGACAGTTACTTGCAGACGGCTCTCCTCGTGCTGCTGACGTGCCCCATCCCGGGACCAGATGCAGCCCCGGGGTCCAGAGGCCCCCGTGTCCCAGCCCAGCCCTCCGCTGGTTTATCGTTCCCTGACGCTCCGTCGAGGACTGCCCGCCTCGTTTGGATGCCCCTGTCCTCAGCTTCCTCTGACCTGGAGCAGGACCCGCCTCTGTCTTTGTTGGCCCTGGAGTTTCTCAGTTTTATTTTAGATATGAAAAGCTTTAGAAATAGGAATATTCTTTACTGGGGTATAATTTACATGACGTTATATCAGCTGTGACGATTCGATACTTGTACATATTGGGAAACAGTCGCCACCATGAGTCTAGTTAGCAGCCAGAACCACACACAGTTACAGAATTTTTTTTTCTTGCAGTGAAAACTTTCGAAATCCACTCTCCTAGCTACTTTCCAATACACAATACGGCCGTGCCGCGGTATCTGTGGTTTTTGGCCCAGTCCCTTATGCGAAATGGCGCATCATTCCATGCGTGTGCTCAGTGTGTGGCTAATTCCACTGTACGTGTCCCCATTTATCTAACTTTCTGAAAATAGCAAAAATAGAGACAGGAAGCAGATGGATGTTGCAGGGGTTGGCGGTGGGGGAGGGTTGTCTGCAGGGCAGCAGGAAGGACCTCTGTGGCGGGATTTGTTGAAACCCGAGAGTTACGCCCCAAATGAAAGAATCCTACTCCAGGCAGGGGGAACGTAGACACACCACGACGTGGGGGGCTCTGGAGCTGGAGTACAGACTCACAGACGCTGTTAAACTAACCTGTGAAAAACAGCACCCCAACACGGGCGGCGAGGGAGGGCTGGCCTGAGGGGCGTGGCGGAGCCATATTCTGCCCGAGCGCCAGCAAAGCTGAAAACGGTCACCACACAGATGTGCTGTCTTCCAGCTGGTGACCGTGTTCTCACGGGGGACGAGACAGCGATCCTAAACCTGCGTGTGCTAAGACGGGACAGAAGCGAGCCGGTCTCCGAGAGAGCAGCCCTGTGGTACTGGACTGGAACTGTGAGCTCACGGCTCTACACTTAGACAGCACATGGGCCGCTCTTAGCACACGCCCCCCAACAATGGAAACGAACGTGAATGTGTGCATGCACGGCACTAATCTGTCACATACACGCACACATAGGTATGTGAACACGCTATTTTTTTTTTATTCAAATTCACACACCTCCTTTGAGACCAGCTGGAGGCCGCCTGCCCCACGCGACCTTCCCGTGTCCCTGTGTGGGTTCCCACCCCGCTTCGCCACCCTCTCGCCGCACTGACCGGGCCGCCCTGTCCTGTGCGTACCGTAGCTTTCGTTCCAGACAGCACCTTCTCGAAGGCCTTATCTAGCTCTTCCCTTTCTTCATGCTCCCCGTAATCTCTCGCGTCGTGCCGGCCCTCAGCGACGGATCCCGTGCCAGAGGTGCGATCGGAACGGGGACGCGGCGTGCCCTGCAGGTACTCGGGTCTCTTCCCAGAGGCCCCAGGACCTGCCCTGTGGACGTCGGTCCTTCTACCCTCCTCAAATCACGCAGCCCCTGGGGCTGAGGAAACTGAGTTCGGACGAAGCCCCAGGGTGTGTCCAGCCCTGCCCCCCCGGAAATTTGGGCATCTCCTGGAGCCCCACTGCCATCGCCCCCCGTTCCTCAGGGATCACACGCCAGCTCTTCCAAATCCACCCCAGAGACCCCTCTCCTCTGCTTCATGGCGCAGCTGGACCACCGCCACCGCTCCAGAAACTTCTGAGAGCTTCTAAGTCGATGGTTTTCTATTTCATCTCAACCCATTCTTCAGCAGGCAGAGTGATCTTTTAGTGTAAACCCGACCGTGCGTCTGTATGAATCATCTAGACTTCCGTAGCAGCTCCCATCATACTCAGATAACCCGGGCTTATCTCGCCCAGCTGCCCTCCTGGCTGCGGGCCAGGCTCGGCCCCTCCTTTCCTTAGAGCTCTTGCTAGAGCACCGTCTGCAAGGGCACATCTGTCCTTCCGTCCCATTTATCCTGGAATTGAATCGCCGTAAATATTTCAACTGCTGAATTTCTATATAGATGTCATTCAAGTTCAGTAATGGTTTGTTGACCGTGGGATGACCCGTGGGCTACCGAGAGCCCCCGTGTCCCTCCGTGTGTGATGGATCCCATCTGCCCCTCAAGGTCTCTGCTTCAATGCCACTTCCTCAGAGTGAGCCCCTGACCCCGCCGCCTAACCAGGTCCATGCCCTCGATCGTACCTCCTGTCACTGCACCCTACTGGTTTCATTCCACACACACGCACACGCACACACACATACACACGCACACGCACGCACACTCACACACACACACACACGCACACACACACAGCAGGCTGCTACTCCATCTCGTCGCCTCCCTCTCCCCGCTCCAGCTCCCAGGAACAGGAGAAAAGCAATCAAAAATTACTGA